TTTTTATATCACTTTTTGTATCATTTTTTAATATAATTTTCACACATATTATTAAATGAATAATTATATTTAATATTATAAATTTTAAATAAATAAATAAAATCAATCATGTTGATGACTTAAAAACTACTATTGCATTACTTGACACCATAATAAATACACACAAAAACCCATAATGGGTGGAATAACAAAAATGCAGAGATTTGTGTGATTGAGAATATATTGGTTCAAAATTAAATTTTGATTTAAGAATCAAATATTGATTCTCTTGATTATAATAATCTCTTTCACGATCTGAGGAAAGTTAATACTTTTCAACACTCCCCTTAAGTTGGTACACGAAAAGTTGATGTAGAGAGACCAACTTAATCAGAAGATGCTTCCATTACCTACTTAAAAAAAAATAATAATAATAATCAGAAGATGCTTGAATATATGTATCTTTCAACGAAAAATAGGCGTAGCAAACCCCTGTAGGTGAGGAACTTCTATCTTGAGTTTGAATAAAGTTGAGAAAAAAGATACGAAATATAGCATATAGAAAGGACAAGATATACGAGGTTTAGCTGACGGTGGTGCTTACGTATATCCATGGACAAGAGCTTTGAAGGCTATAATTGCATTTTTTGACTTGATAAATGATAAACACAAAACCCATATATTTATAATGGGTGGAATAACAATCATGGAGAAATTTGTGTGATTGAGATTATATTAATCTAAAATTGAATTTTGATTTAAGAATTAAATATTGATTTTCTTAATTGTAAAAATCTCTCGATTTGAAGAAAGTTAAAACATTTCCATAGAACGAAAGAAGTATGAAATTTCTATTTATAATCATCATTTTAAGTTTTGGAAAATGGCTATTTATGTCAAAAATATTATAGTTATAACTTATAATGTCAAATAATATTATAAATTTATAATATTATATATTATTAAATAATTAATTTTTTTCATTTAAAAATCTATTAATAATATTATATATTTATTTAATATCATATCATACTCATTTAATAATATATTATGATAATAAATTTATAATTTTACATAATATTATAATTATTATAATTTTTTTAAGAAGCATTGCAATTATAATATCACCATATTTATGTTGGCCCTAAGAGGTATCTTCAAAGGCCATGTCTTTTTAAGAAGACATCTTTCCACTGAAACACGTGATTTGAAATGGTGCGTGAAAATACTTATCCAAACATGTGTTTTGAATTTTGAATTTCAATAAAATTTTGAAGATAATGAAAAAAATATTTCAACCAACAGTCAAAGCCCAAGATGTCTGAGTGCTCCAAAAACCTCTTAGCATTAACCATATATTTGGGTTGAGTGAAATAGAGGGGAGGGGAAAAACCTTTTTTATTTGGTTATTAAAAAAATTGAAAAGGTGGGAAGGAGAAAAAATTTTGTAATTTAATTATTAAAAAAATTGAAAGGGAGGGGAGGAGAAAATTTTCCCTTCTTTTATTTTATTGTATATTTAAATTAAGAGAAATGAGAGAGAGAACAAATTTTTAACCAATCAAATTATAACATTTTAATTTGATTGGTCAAAAAACTTTCCCTTCCTTTTCATTTCCCTCAACTCATACATATTATTAAGGATTATGATACATTTACCTTCTCTCGTTACACCCTCCGTCACACACATTCACTTTCTGTTACTTAATCCGTTAATTTCAGACATACTAGCCCAACCATTTCTCCCTATCTCTGCTTTCCTTTCTCCCTCTTGCTGTTCTAATTGACCTTTTCTCTCTTTTAGACATGGACTTGGGTTTGAAATGTTGGAGGAAAGTTTCCAATTTTCTTATCAACCAAACAACACACTATATTATCAAATTTGTAAAAATTCTAACAAAAATTTATAAAAATTCATTATCTTCTTCCTTTTTCCTCCTTCCTCTTTTTTTTTTCTCTCTCCATCTAGGTTCTCCTGAAGAACCTAGATCGAACCCAAATCTAGGTTCTCTTAAAGAACCTAGATTGAGAACCCAAATCAAGAACCTAGATTTGGGTTCTCCTTCAACAAACAGATCAAGGAGGGGGGAAGAGAAGGATGAAGAGGAGAGGAGAGGGAAAGAAGAAGAAAAAGAAAGGAGGAGGAGGGGAAAGAAGGAAGAAGGTTTGAAGGTTGAAAATCAAAGAACCAATGCTGGGTGAAGAGAGGAGAGCTGCTGAGTACCTTTGGAGTTAACGAAAGAAATGAAGAGGGAGTACGTGTGTGACGGAGGGTGTAACGGGAGAAGGTGTATATTAGTCACTCATTCAAATATATATGGGGAAAGGAGGGGATGGAAACAGAAGGAGAAGGGAAGGGATGGAAAGAAAAGGAAGGACATAATTCCCTTCCCTTCTCCTCTTCTCCATTCCTTTCGACCTAAACATAGAGTAAGAGATGACAATTATCTCATATAATACAACTCAAGACTAAAAAAAAAGTCTTAGATTCAAATTAAAATAAGGAAAATGATTGATACATCTTCTAGTTCAACATATTTTTTGACAAACTCTGATTTAGTGATTAAAAATATAATATAAATACAATCAATTTAATACATTTCTGTATCTTGTGTACATGATTGTATTATTAAACTTGTCTGTTTTTAATTTCAAACAAAAAATAGTAATTTTTTAACGAGTGTGTCATGTAGTGTATTGAACCGGAGTGTGTACCAATCACTGTCCTTAAAATAATACAAAATATGTGATGAGAGCTATATAAATTCAAAGCATGATGTATCTTATCAATTCAGTCCTTCTCTTGAGCAAAGCACATATTGGAGGAGATAATGGCTCAAGGAAATAGTGGTAGATGGAGTCTCCAAGGAATGACTGCTCTTGTAACTGGTGGAACCAAAGGAATCGGGTTGTCTAGCTTCTCCCTTTTATTTTAATTTTTTTTTTTAATTTCTTAAGTTGATACATGATCTTATTAATCCAATTATCTATATTTCATTAGGCGTGCCATCGTGGAGGAGTTGGCCGGACTCAGGGCAACCGTGCACACTTGCTCTCGAAACGAAGATCACCTCAATCAATGCTTACACGAATGGAAGATGAAGGGATTTCAAGTTACCGGTTCAGTCTGTGATGTAAAGTCTCCGGTGGAACGAGAGAAGCTACTAAAAACGGTTTCATCTACGTTCAATGGCAAATTAAACATTCTCGTAATTTTTTTTTTCTCGATTTCTATGTTTAAATGGGTTTTTAGGGAAAACAGTTTTTGAGAGTCTTTCATGCGTGCAGATAAATAACGTGGGAACGGTCATAAGAAAACAAACTCAAAATTTCACAGCCGAAGATTTCTCATTTCTTGTTGCTACGAATCTTGAATCTGCTTTTAGTATCTGCCAACTAGCACACCCGCTTCTAAAAGCCTCGGGTTCTGGAAGCATCGTTTTCCTTTCTTCTACTGCTGGTGTTGTATCAATCGACGTTGGATCCGTTTATGGTGCTACTAAAGGTATGAGCAAGAGAATACACTATAAAGTTTTGAACGATACCTTGATCTAGAATCAAGATTTTGTAGAGTTAATTATGTTAGAAAAAATAGAAAGCAAGATAAGAAAAGCGTGATGAGGCCTAAAGGAATTATTAATTACTATTTTTAAACAGCAAGATACAACAAAACTATAAAAACTAAACTCTGTGAAGATGTGAAGGAAAGATTTAATTAATGAAGTCTTGAACTTATTTCTGTTGTGTTGCAGGAGCAATGAACCAGCTTACAAAGAATTTGGCATGTGAGTGGGCTAAAGACAACATAAGGATCAACAGTGTTGCACCCTGGTTTATCAACACTCCCCTCGTTGAACCTGTAAAATCCACTTGCTTATCATCCTTATCTTTTCTTATATGCATTATTAGAGCCCAGGCCACTTTACCTTTGTTGCGAAACTCGTGGCAATTTGCTTTACACATCAAGAGGGTTTTGAAGTTAACGTGTCAAGTACAGCGGGCCTGCGTGGGACAAGGCCTTAAGTAGAAAAAATCTTACATTGAGAAATAAAGAATGAACATGCAGGGTTAAAAATAGGATAAAATATATCTTGATAGTGGGTCTCATGTGGACTTTCATAATTAATGATTAAAAAGATTTTGTCCCTTTCTTTGGCCAGTTATTTATGATTTTGCCTTTGTGTTGCCGCAGCTTTTCAAAGATGAGAAATTTGTGGAGGCGGCCAAATCTCGAACAGCTCTGGGACGCATCGGAGAGGCAGAGGAAGTGTCTTCAATAGTGGCATTTCTATGCCTTCCGGCAGCCTCTTACATCACCGGCCAGACCATTTGCGTTGATGGAGGGGCAACTGTGAACGGCTTCTCCTTTCCAATGAATTGAAAGGACATGTATCATTTAAATTCTAGACTTCCATGTGAGAGAGTCAAAGTATCATCCTTTAAATTAAGTTCATAAGGGAGTGCTTTTTTTTTTCTGTTTTCTTTTTTTTTATCTTTTGTTTGAACTTCCTATGCGAGATTATTTTCAATATTGTACTCTTAATTGTATGAACTGATTTCTCTATCCACGTACTTTGTGATAAACAAAGTCAAACTAGATAATTTTCACTTTAGCATGGCGGTTAGGAAGTATTATATTGGAATGAGTACATTGATTTAAGGTTTAAGTTTTTTTGGTTAATAAGTTATCTAATATTTATGTAAAGGTTTATGAAAAAAATATTTATATAAGGGTTATCTATGTAATTTGCTTTATATCACATAAGAATAATAAACAATATGGCTAGTAAGAAATGATGCAAATTCAAGGTCATGGAGGTTAGCGTAGAGAAGGGATTGGAACTGGTCCAAAGAGAATCTTGCTGGTGGATTTGTGGGATCGGATTGAAAATGATTGGACTTTCTCCCTTACTGATTGGTCTCGAAACCCGAGGTGTTGCTAGGTGTTGCGTGATAACATCACAAGTGGGATAGCATGATTGAAGGAAAAATGTATTGTGCTCTCTCTCTCATGGCGAGGGATTAAAAGTATAAAGATGAGAATATCTTGTGCTCTAATAATAATAATTAATTTTTATTGTTAAAAAAAATAAAGCAATATTCCTTTTCCCTTCAGTTTTTTCTCATTTATTTTTTATCCTTTCTGCATGGTGTAAAGCTAAGATCAAGAATTTTATTTTCGCTTCCATAATTCTCTTATATTTTTTGTTTTTCGTAAATTTTATTTTTAAAATTGTTTTAAGGTTATCTCGATTTCTTTTTCTTTTTTTTTAGGGAAATTCCCCTGTTTTGATTTTTAAAACCATTCTCATCTTTTCTTCCTCCAAGAAGGAATCCTCTTCCTCTGTTTCTTCACAAGGCGTATTGTTACTGCCTCTCTTTCTTGTTTCTACTTATTCAAGCACTGGTAAAACGAAATTTTCAATCCCCTTGCTTGGCCACCATCCACTTTAATCGGCCATGAATTCTCAAAATTACCTTTATTTATTTATTTATTTTTCTTTAAGTTGCAATTTGAGAACACTTTCAGCTGCTTCTGGTTTTTTTTTTTT